GGTCTGAGCGGGCGTTTTTACTTTAAGAGTAAACACATCTGACTCAGGGAACCAACACAAACCGAGCACCTTGTCTGTATCAGAGCCGTCAAATTCCTTTACAACCGAAAGAAGATGTGACAGTGGGATTGTAATGAAATCAGTACGCAAATTACTCGTTCACTTGAGATCAAATTGACCTGTTTTCATGAGTTTTATAACTTCGGTGGCGATTGAAATGGCTTGTCCCTACTCGGCCACTACTCGTTATGATGTTTCTTAAAAATAAGAAATAATAAAGTACTATGTTGACTGGGCCAGAACGCTTAGAGAGCCATTAACTAGAAAAGTACCCTTTGTAATCACTTTCATCACGGTGTAGTAAATAATAATATGTAAATAAATAAATAAGTAAAATTAGAAAAGTCACTGTTGGCTTTTGATTATCTTAAAATTAATATTTTCTTTATAAGAAATTTTAGTTCTGATGTCAGGAACACAAACGCATATGTTTGAAGATCCACGTACGAACATAACAAAAGTAATGGTGCCCTTAGTATTCGCCTTATTAAGCAGAAAAATAATGTGATAAGTCTATTTTAACAAAGACATCTACATAAATCTACATCTACATAAAGTTATAACGTTTTTACGACCCACTGCTGGGCACAGAGGCCAGCGTGTTGATGGTATACACGGCATGACTTTGAAACATTTTAATTAATTTCTTAAGAATGAAAATTGCAATTAATTATTTCATTGGAGCTGGCAGGGTAGTGTTCAAACGCTTGGCAAGCAGGTGGGCAACCGCAACTTCATATTTTTAGTCTTTATTGAGAAGACGCTGCTCCGATCTCCTGATTTTTTTGTTACGACACCCACATGATGATATGAGGTAGTTGATATTCTTACTCTGCCGCTACACGATTATGATCACACAATTTTAAATTCTGATGAGTCATTAAGGAACAAAAGTAGATATTTTAGTGTGGTATATTGTGTATATATTATACTAAAAGCTTCCCCTACGAAGCTAAAGTTTTAAAGTGCATCATAGATAAGATAAATGTTTAATCAGTGCTTTGCTGTTAGGGATCCTTGTAAATTGCCATTAAGCTACCAGATAAGGTAAGTTGGCTTCATAGTAGTTTTAATTTCTTCCGAAGACACTTCAGCTAACATTTATTAAGTATTATTGTAACTAGGCAATCTCAGTGATAATATGATTTTATTTTTAAAATAATTATTTTTTATACGTAATTTTTTCCCACTAGATTTACTTCTATTCTAAACGACTATAAACTTCTTATAAAAAATATACACAAATCTTACCTATAATCATAAACGACAAAACGACAAATAATTTATAGGTAATAAAAATATTTCTGTAAATAAAGAATTAACTGAATGGGAGTCTTCTTATGTCGTATTACTACTGTGTGCAGTAAGAGCTGTCTTACACAAAGATCAGTGAATGTTTCGTAGATCTAAATAGTTGTAAATAACAAAATAGTTATATATATATATATATATATATATATATATATATATATATATATATATATATATATATAATAGACAACTAGATATTTTGTATTATCTGCAGAATATATCTGTTGAAAACAATCAAGGAGAAGACTGAAGACAACAGGAATGAGATTTGAAAGTGATGTAGGTGTTTGTCATAAAAGCCATAAAAGCCGCGTATTTAATTAAATCTACATTGTGGTTTACTTTCAGGATTAGTCTAAGATGTTTAGATATAAATTTGCGTGCATTGCCAGTCTTTTAGAAAGGAGTAAGTTCTTTTCTTGAAGGTACCTAAGTCGTATCGGTCCGGAAAAATTGCCAGTCGTAAATGATTCACAGAAAAGTCCTACGAGGAAGAAATGTCCCAGTGAATCGTACAGTAGTGGACAGCCAAGCATCCTGATGTTGTGGATGTTATATCGTGAGTTTTGTCGAGATGTGCGTTCGTGAAATATGGCGCCTGGTATTAATCCGAGCAAGAACTGACTGTCTCCTGGAAAAGATTCCTTTCATCTAGAATATTTTCGACATACGACATATTCAAACATGCAGTGTTTGAGATAGTGTTAACTGTCTTCTTTTAGTGTCAAACATACATTAAATAAGCACTTAAAATTGCAGTAAACGATATTAGTGGTGGACCACCGTGTGTGACCAAGTGTGCGCACTGCGGGAAAAAATTGCATGCGGATTTTTATTCTATGAACAGTTACACAGAGAAATTTTGCATCCTAGGAGCGTATATAAAATCCTGCGCATTGGCGTAAAAAAAAACCCAGACAGTGTGGCCGTTTTAGCGACTTTCTCGCTAGATCTAGCGGATTTTAACAATGTTTAGCGGATAAAAAAATCCTTTTAGCGAGAAATAATTATTTAGCGACTTCTAGCGACATTTGGACTTTTGAAATTGCGACTTTTTTATAAAGTAATTCATTTCAAATAAGTCATATATCCAATTTTGTAATCTACCGTTTGTAACACTGTATATACAATATAATTTCACGAGAATTCCCGAACATAAACTAACAATTCAATGTCGTTCATTCACTTTCATCTGTTTCGACCTTAGACCGTGGTCTAAGGTTCCGACATACAAAAATGCAGCAGGAGTAAACATATTGGTACGAGGTTGGATTGAAAAGTACTCGGCCTAACCAAGAAAATAAACACATACTAAATCAGTTATATTTTTATTTTTCTACATAATCACCATCAAGTTCAATACACTTTTGCCACCTCCCCTTCCAAGCATTTAGACCGTTGAAAAAAAATGATCCTTCCTTAGAGTCAAAATATGCGTCTACAGCTGCTTTGACCTCGTCGTTTGTCGAAAATCTTTGACCTCCCAAGTGCTTTTTTAGGTTAGGGAACAGAAAGAAGTCTGATGGTGCAAGATCAGGTGAATACGGCGGATGCGGTAACAGTTCAAAGCCACAGTTGTGAATTTCAGCCATTGACTATACTGACGTGTGAACACGGGCGTTATCTTGATGAAACAGGACTTTTCTTCTGAGCATTCCTCGACGTTTTTCTTTTATTTCCTCTCGTAAACGACGTAGTAAGGTGCAGTAGTAATCAGAGTTTATAGTCTGACCCCTTTCAAGATAATCAATCATAATCACACCTTTCGAGTCCCAGAATACTGAAGCCATCACCTCATTTGCCGACAAAATCGACTTAGCCTTTTTAGGGGGTGGTGAACCAGGTCTTCTCCACTGTTTTGATTGTTGTTTTGTTTCCGGTGTACAGTAATGAACCCATGTTTCGTCCATAGTAACAAAACGATTCAAAAAATCATCTGCATCGGCTTCAAATAACTCCAAACAGTCGCGTGAAATAGTCAATCGCGTCCTTTTTTGTTCAACTGAAAGCAGTCGCGGAACCCACCTCGCAGACACCTTGTGGAAACCCGACTCGTTGACAATGATGTTTTGAGTTCATTCATAAGAGATGCCTATAATCTCGGCTATCTCACTAATTTTTAATCTGCGGTCTCCCATTATTAAATCAAGTACTTTTTTAATATTTTCGTCAGTAGTTGACGTCGAAGGCCTTCCAGAGCGTGGTTCATCTTTCACACTCTCTCTACCACGCTTAAATTCTGCTATCCATTTTTTGATGGATGAATATGACAGAGCACAATCGCCTAATGTACTGACCATGTCATCATGGATGGCTTTTGATGATAGCCCTTTCTTATGGAGGTACTTAATGACGGCACGCTGCTCGATTTGCTCCATTCGCGGAAATTATGTCCGATTACTTTGTTAATAAATTTATAAAATCACAACTAATTATCGCACACGTTTCGAACTTCACACAATGAACTAGTCTGAACTGAACTAAATAATGTGGGTAGATTTGATTTTTAGAATTGAATGGATCTGTGTTAGGCCGAGTACTTTTCAATCCACCCTCGTAGATTTATGTAATTTTGCAATAGTAATATTATCACTACTGCACTCAAGTGCAGAATTTCAATGCGTATTTGGTGCCATTAATGTAGTTAAAAGCAAACTACGAAACAAGCTAATAATAATAATAATAATAATAACATGGCGTAGGGAAGTGACGACCCCATCGCCCGTTGACGTGACGGTTATGTGACAAAACCGCTACGTCCGCGCAGTCAGTCAGCACCTTGCCAAGAGGTGTGAGCGCCGTGCCTCGGCAAAAATTGATGGTGCAAGGGCCCGCTTGTGCATATGGCCTCACCATGAAACGGCGCCGGGTCTGGGCGTCTCCCGTTAAATGACGCCCTGTATGGATGATGGAACATAGAAGATTGCGCAAAGGGCCGCTGCCTGGAGGTCGTCAGGGCGCGTCTGGAGCTGGCGCTGGACGCGACAGCATGCGAACCGCCAGCCGAGCGCGAGGTGCTGCACGACCACCCAGCAGCCCCTCGCATCCATCATCCCCACCAGCTTGCTTGGTGTCGGCAGGGTCTTCGCAGGCCCAGCAATCGGCACCCGCCACTAGTGGAGTACGCTGCATGCGATGGACCATCAATATGAATTCAAACGCATTGCGGGCGTATTTTAGGGCGAAAGGGGGAGAAATTGGAGGTTTCGCGTATCGGGCTAGGATGCATCGTCTTTTTACTGAGCTGGAGCCATCTATTACTGTCACCGAGCAAAACCTGGCAGACCGAGTTCGGTATATCTTACGCTCAAATATATTTGATGGCGCCGAACTCGAACGGCTATGACGTGAGGCTGTTCCCTCATCAAATGAAAACGCTACGACTGAGAGTGCGGTGCCACAAGTTGCAGAACAACCCGCACACGTGGATGCCGCCGAGAATACCCCAGTGGTTGCTGATTCAAATGATGATGGAACATTCACCCAGGAACTAGAAATAGAGCAAATGAGGAGTACATTGGAAGAGGCGATTATGGAAACGCGCAGTACGCCTCTCGAAAATCGACCGCGACTTCCCCCGCATAGCCCTAAGCAAGCGGAATCGGGCTGTCGTGAGGGCTCTGAACCCAATGCTGGTGACCTATTTGGAAGCCAGCCGGGACCTTTGCGAGACGGACTCAATTCTCTTTGGCGCCGCACTGGCAGTCTGCCGTATTATAGGCGCCAAACTTTCCACGGCTGGACGCACTACTGGACAAAGTAGTGCTATCCCAGCCTGGAGAACAAGAATTGAAGAACGTATCGCAAAGGCTAGGGCCCTCATCGGCAGACTGATATGCTTCAGGTCAGGCAATACCAGGCCAAGGATTGTGCGCACCGTCAGGATGGCGTTTTCTGGGACAAATGTTAGTTTGTCCCAGCCGGATATAATGCAAAAACTGACGGAGCGCATAGACGACCTGAAGCAGAGAATCGCTGCTTGGGGAAAGCGAATTCGGCGATATACCGAGAGGTCGACACGGTTCAACCAGAATCGTCTCTTCCAGAGTGATCAGAAGAGGCTCTATAAATCATTGGAGCGACCAATGGTAAGTGGAACGGGCCCAGTACCGAATCAGGCCGACACGGTCGCATTCTGGCGCAGCCTGTGGTCAGAGCCCGTAAACCACAACGAGGGCCCTTGGACGGAAGTTGTGGCGAGTCAGTGTGCGGGTATTACGCCCATGGACCCCGTCACCATAACGCCGGATGACGTAGCTGAGGCGGTCCGTAGGGCCCCGAACTGGAAAAGTCCGGGACTCGACGGGCTGCATCACTACTGGCTGAAGGGGTTCGTGGTGTGTCACACTGTGCTCGCCCGACAGTTTCAAGAGGTTCTCAACCAGAAGTCGCTCCCGAGCCTCTTCACTACTGGGATCACCCATTTGGTTCCTAAAGGCCAGAGTACCACAGACCCGAGCAAATACCGCCCCATCACATGTCTACCGACCATATATAAGACACTAACATCCATTTTGAGCGCGAGAATCACTCGTCACCTGGACTCAAATCAGGTGATGTCGCGCGCTCAAAATGGATGTCGGGGCGGCGGTCGTGGAACCAAGGAACCACGCCTCATTGACGCGGTCATTGGCAAAGTGGTGAAACGCAACCGTCGGAACTTCTCCGCCGCCTGGATAGACTACAGAAAGGCATTTGACTCGGTGCCCCATACATGGCTAAAGAGAGTCCTCGAACTGTACAAGATAGACTGTACAGTTAGAGACTTCCTCGAGCAGTGTATGGGGCAGTGGAGTACGATCCTTTGTCATCTGGGCGAGCGGATGATGGCTGCGGAGAACCACATAAGGATAAGAAGGGGTATCTTCCAGGGCGATTGTCTGAGTCCAATATGGTTCTGCCTCTCTCTGAACCCTCTCAGTACCTTACTGGAGGGCTCCGGGAGGGGATTTCAGCTACGGAAAGGAGGGACAAAAGTGACCCACCTTTTCTATATGGATGACCTCAAGTTATTCGCCTCCAGTCGCTCCCATCTTATGGAACTGCTAAACATCACTTGTGAATTTAGCAATTCCATTGGAATGGAGCTGGGGACGGATAAGTGTGCGGTCCTCCATGTTGAGAGGGGTAGGGTTGCTAACTCTGAGGGCATAGACTTATCTATGCCCGTCAACTTAAGGACCCTTTCCGAGGCTGAAACATACCGATACCTGGGTATGTCACAGAACATTGGTATCGATGAGGCTGGTATGAAACAGTCAGTTTGCGACGTGTTTTATGCACGCTTGACCAAAGTGCTTAACAGCCTTTTGTCCGGTGTGAATAAGACACAAGCATATAACGGCTGGGTCATACCTGTCCTCATGTATACCTTTGGCATACTCAGGTGGACTCAGACTGAACTTAACGCCCTGGATAGAAAAGTCCGCACTACCATGACGTCCCACAGGATGCATCATCCGAGATCGTCGGTAATGAGGCTGTACTTGCCGCGAAAGCATGGTGGACGTGGCTTCTTGAGCGCGCTCACCATGCATAATCGCGAAGTGTGCAGCCTCCGTAATTACTTCCTGGCGAGATCGGATGATCCATTCTATAAGGACGTCATTTCTTGTGATAAAGGACTTACTCCTCTATCCTTAGCCAACGAGCAATGGCAAGACCCGGCAGTGCAGACAATTTCCGACCGGGAGACCGTATGGAAGGAGAAGGAGCTCCACGGGAGGTTCTACAAGTCTCTACATGGGCCTTTCGTAGACACAGTAACCTCTCTCCACTGGCTACGCTTTGGTGACCTCTTCGGGGAAACCGAGGGTTTTGTCTGTGCAATACAGGATCAGGTTATTAAGACCAACAACTATCGGAGATACATCCTAAAGGATGGCACCGTGGACATCTGTCGAGCTTGTCGCCATCCCGGTGAGTCACTTAGGCATGTCATCTCCGGTTGTTCGGCGCTTTCTAACTCTGAGTACTTGCACAGGCACAACCTAGTAGCCAGAATTCTACACCAGGAGCTCGCTCTGAAATACGGTTTCGTGGATCGGAAGTTGCCGTATTACAAGTACTTGCCGGAAGCCGTGCTCGAAAATGATCGCGCCAGGCTCTATTGGGACCGGGCCATCATCACAGACAGGACTATTCTTGCGAATAAGCCTGATATTGTGCTGATGGACCGGGCACAGTCAAGGATATTTTTGGTCGACATTACCATTCCGTGTGACGAGAACCTCGTGAAAGCCGAAACAGATAAGCAAACAAAATATCTGGACCTGGCTCACGAGGTGACCGACATGTGGGGTGGTCTGCCGACCGAAATTATTCCTGTAGTCGTCTCTGCAAACGGGCTAATCCCAGTCAGCCTCTCGGGTCATCTGAGGCGGCTGGGACTACGTGGCGGACCGCTCCAGGCTCAAATGCAGAAGGCGGTGCTCCTCGATACCGCCCGCATCGTCCGCCGGTTTCTTTCCCTTTCCCCCTAACCCTCGGCCGTTTGGTCTCCCCTGCCGAGGGCTTCCATCTGGTTGGGCTTTTATTTATTTATGTATTTTCATATTTATTTTATTTTATTGATATTTTTGTATGTTTATCTTTTCATTTTCGTTTATAATTATATATTTATACATCCCAACCAGATGAGAAAACTATATAGATACCCCACACATAATAATAATGATAATTTATTACTTTAAAACAAGTAGTAAGTTGTTACAATATTGTTGGGCACCCTCTTTTAAGTAAATAGATACCTGTAGTAGAGGGCCCCGCTCTTCCTTATTACAATTATATTACTACTTTAAATTATAATTAAGTATATAACACAAAAACAATAAAATAACAAAAAAAAACATTAAAAAAAAATCAAAAGCTAAACAAAGCACAACTGCATGTAAGGTATAATTAGGGTTGTTTGCGTGAGTGTGATAAAATGTGTGTGTGTGTGTGTGTGTGTGTGTGTGTGTGTGTGTGTGTGTGTTGTTTGTATGGATGAGCATGGGAAGTCTGTATGAGTGTAAAAATTCATAAAGCAGTGTTTTCGAGAAGGAATTCGATTTCTTCGTAGGAAAGTTTTCTTAACCAGTCTGTTACTGTTTTTTTACAGTCATGGTAATTCATAGAGTAAATATTGATTTTTTTGGTTTATTTTATTATATAAGTAAACTGAACGTCTAGTATACTGTCTTGAGGCAAACTTAGTCTTAAATGAATCTTCGTAGGGTATTTTATATTTTCTACGTCTGGTGATTGAAGATATGTGGTAATTTATGAAACTATGAAGTTTTAAAACTGTTACTAAAATTTAAAGTTTTCTTTCTGAAAGTAAATTACTCAATTCATAAATTTCAGTCGTAGAGAATCTATAGGGCTTTAAGTACATAGCTTTAATTAAACATCTTTGAGCCCTTTCAAGCTCAAGGAACCTAGTTTTTGCTGCACCACCCCATATAGGAATACAGTAGCCCAAAGTTGACTGAGCCAGAGCTATGTTATGCTATCAGAAAAAACTTTAAATTTCATTCTTCTGATTAGAAATCAGTTAAGGATTTAAAAAAAAAGAATTGCACAACGAATGATATTCCCGAAGATGTTGTCAACCAAGTCGAAAAAGGCAAACCAAAGATGAGAACTGGAGATATTGGCGAAACTTCAACTTCCGCTGAAGTTCTTTTTGAAGATCTGGGTCCATACTTCGCTATTAATTTTGAAATAGTTAAATAACGTACTGAGCTAATTGTTTTATTTTTAATACGATGACTAATGTTTAAACGTGGTTTAAAGATTTAAGATGTATTTTTTTACAATATTTTTTTATTTTGTACATGAATAATTTTTGTTTTGGTTGTTATATCATTAACCTACACTATAAATAACTGATTTATTTGAAATAGAGTCCACTCCTTTTAAGGTTTTACTGAATTTATAGATTTAGATTTTCGGTATTAATTGACCATAAGGCAAGATTTTTCAGTTAGCCCAATGGTACCACGAAAATATACCTAGGGACATCTAGTGGATTTTAAGAAATAGAAAAATCCTGTTTCTGGCGGATTTTTTCTGTTAGTCTAGGGACTTTAAAATTTGTAGAACGGCAACCCTGACCCCAGATCGGCTTCCTCAGTCTCGCTTGGACCGCGACGTAAGGATGTCGTCTCAATACGCTCCTGCTCATGATGACCATGCGTTGGCTGTACAAGCGGTCGCCGACATTATGGTCGACGCCTTGATAATAGAAAATCATAATAGGGGAGCGATTTGGGACAGTAAAGATTTATTGAGATAGTATTATTAAATCTAAAATGTGGGATATAGTTTACGAAAACATAATTGTAAACTGGTACAACCTATCTATTGGACAAAAACAAATATGTAAGTATACACTGTTTCTATCTCTAAAATACCTAGGTAGAATAGGTATAGAAAATATATTAGGAATGATTATAGTAGGTAGTAAGTACACACGGCAACATATGTCGTTAAGTGTTTATAGTAGCCCTACAAAACGTGGTGCTCTCAAGGTCAATATGTAGATTTTTATGTGAACTTTGACGCCTAACTAGAAATCGGTATGGCTTCTCTTCTGGGTTACGGAGGTCTGAGGGCAATCAATCTGTGTGTAATAGCTATTTAGCTTCGCCGAATGCCCTGCTAACCTCGATAGATAAGGGTTAAGTTTTGGAAAGAGTAGATGAAAGATAATAAAACATTCATTTATTGAAGTCTAAATGGTCTTGCCACAAATACTGTTACATAAAAACTTTTCTTTTTTCTCAACTTTTTAATTATTTTGAATTTTGGAACGCGTTCATTATTTTTAAAAGTTTTGATATATTTTTTCGTGTTCATTATCAAATTACAATATAAAAATGATGAATCAAAAAGTGGTCACGATTGAAGAGCACTACAATAAGCAAAATGATAAAGTGTACGCTCAAAGTTCTAAAGAAGCTGCTCAAATGGTTGAAAAGGTACAACGTGGTCATGATCCTACATCAGTGATGGTTTGCTGGGGCGTGTCTTATCAAGGAGTCACAAAGCTACATTTATTTGAAAAAGGAGTGTAAACTTCAGCCAAAGTATATCAAGAGCCAGTCTTGCATCGTGTTGTAAAACCTCTCAACAATACATTTTTAGCGTGTACATCTATGTATGTTCCAGTGCGTATAATTGTCTTTTATTTATCCTTCATACATCACAGGTGTACAATCTAATTACACTTTTCTCTTTCCATTGCGGGCGTAGTGTAGATAGATCCCAGGTTCTGTGATAAAACAATGCTAAATGGATGCGGCAGCATGTTATGTTGAACGTATCTCTCGGGTTGCTATTGTGAATAAGTTGTTTTGTATGATATTTAAATTATTTTTATACTCTCGGTTCCAGTTATGCAATGAAATTAACATTCATAAACATCCGGTATATCACTACAAATATAAGGCAGTTGTGTCCCAAAAGTAAATATAAAAAGAATATTAAAAACGTACTAATCGTGTATATACTTGTATTATTAATCCAAATATGTATATATTATATGTGCCCGTGTGTGTATGTGCATGTGTGTTATGCGTATATATATATTTATGTATGTATGTGTATATATCTATGTATATGTATATATATTATATGTGTGTGTATGTATATAACGTAGTTAAGGTAGCCACTGAAAATCAGGGCTAGGATGACACATCTTAGCGTTTCCTGAGTGGCAGTCCTATTTGGACCATTTCAAACTAAAAAAAAAAGTTTTTTTTAGTTAGGTGTTCACTTCTTTTTAATGTATTTTGTATCTATCTGCTTTATAAAAATGATTTGTTTTTTAATTGTAGGTGTATAATTAAGTCTACCAATAAGAATACCTAAAAATAATGTTTGTTTTGAGTATTTACTGCTAATTTGTTAAGAAATAGCCAAATAAATATCTCTTTCTTTCTTTCTTTCTTCTTTCTTTTAAAAATATACCGTGGAATTTCCAGTAGGACTCTGCACCTGGTCACAAGGCAGATATAGTTCGTACGTAAACAGGGGTAGTTCTTACCCAAGACTTGCTTGAAACCAAAGTTCCGGACTTTATAAGATAGTTTAATTCTGCTATCCTAGTACATTCATTTGAACACAATCACAATGCCGTTGAAGCGCACACCCCCTCCCTCACCACTCACCACACCAATAGCGCCCACGTTCAGTAGTGCAGAGTACAGTGCTAATACTCTAACAACAAAAGAAATCAATTCTATGCATCACAGCGATTCTGCGCCTGATTTAACTACTCTTAGGACGACTGTCAGTGAGAGGAAAAAACGAAAGCACCCTGGAGGAGATGACAGCATCACATCCTTGATAAAATATATGTTTACCAATTTCTCTAAGGAACAGGAAACGCGTTTTTATAATTTACAAAGTACAATTGTAGATCTCAAAGAGCAAAATTATGAGTTAAAACGAAGTGTGGAGCATATGTCTAACAAATATGACGATTTAATTACAATAATAGCTAATTTGGAAAAAGAAAGAAAAGAGGACAAACGGCACATGGCTTTAATAAAAACGCGTTTATAAAAACATAGATGGGTTAATGGCACAATTGGAAAGATTTACTTTTGAATGTGATATTCTAATTCTAACGGAATGCTGGTTAAGTAGTCACAAACCTCCTCCACTTATTGATAATTACACGTGTTATTTTTCTAAAAAAACCTTAAACCAAAATGACGGTATAATTATTTATGTAAAATCTGGAATAGATTGTATTGTGGAGGAGCCAGATTCGATCGGTGGTAACTTCCTTTTGCTAAAGACGGAACCAAATATTGCAATATTAGCCACATACAGATCGACGTCGTTTTATAGTATTGACAGCTTTCTAAGCACATTTGAACATGTTCTTCAACCCATTAAGGCAAAAAATATATATCTTTTAGGTGATGTCAACATTGACATTAAACCTAACAATGCCGATAAAAATAGCTCATCTTATTTAAATCTTATGGCAGAACTAGGTCTTCTACCAGGACATACTTATCAAACGAGAGTCAATAATTGTTTGGACCATGTCATGATTAAAACCTATTTGCCTGCCACAGTAGTTGTTCTGAATTCAACTGTTACTGACCATAGTTCTGTTCTTCTAAACCTTTCTTTTAATAACGACTATACTCATAAAGTAAGCTATAATACAAAAATTGATTATAATGAAGTTATTAAAAATCTGTCTACAATTGACTTTTCTTTTATAAACACTAACTGCAATGCAGATAACGCTGCCTCACAATTAGTTGAAAAAATATCTTCGATAGTAAAATTTTGTACTCAAGAAAAAGTGATTACTAGGCGGCAAAGAATTCTTAAGCCATGGGTTACACTCGGAGTTCTACGGTGCATTCGCCACAGAGATAAATTGCATAAAAACCTTAAAAAGGACCCTGATAATAACATTTTGGTAGTTTCGTATAAGCGATATAGAAGTTTTTGTAATTCTCTCCTAAGAAGGCTTAAATTTGAATATGAAAGATCTCTTCTTAAAAAGGCAAAAGATAATAAACAAAAATGGAAAGCTATTAAAATTATTACAAATCAAAATACTATTAATGCACCAGCAAAAGAGTTGCTGAATAATATAGATAATAAGTCTTGTACAATTGAGAGTATAAATGATTTTTTCTCAAATGTTGGTAAAAATTTGGCAAACAAAATAAGTCAAGACAAAACCGAAAACTATCGGTACAACTTCAATTTACCGTGTGTTGTCAATTCTTGCGTTCTCATTCCACCCGACGAAGCGGAAATAGAGTCTATTATTATCAACCTAAAAATGACTGCGCTGTAGGCTGGGACTCTATCTCTAGCAAACTTTTAAAGCTTGCTAGAAATATTCTTGTTCCGCCTTTAACTAAATTATTTAATATCTGTCTAGATCTAGAGATATTTCCAAAAGTTTTTTTAAAAATCCATTATAACTCCAGTACACAAGAGTGGCTCAAAAGATAATATAAATAATTACCGGCCTATATCTGTATTGCCTGCTCTCTCAAAAATTTTGGAAAAAGTTTTAAATACTCGGTTGATGAATTTTTTAGAAAAAAATAATATTCTGTCACGTCATCAATATGGTTTCAGGTCGGGAAAAAGTACAGAAAATGCTGTTAGTGACTTGGTTGATTACGTTACCACTAAGCTTGATAACAAGCAAAAATGTATAGGTGTTTTTCTAGATTTAGCCAAGGCATTTGACACTGTTTCGATTCCCTCTCTCCTTGACAAGCTAGAGAGAGTAGGAATTCGTGGTGTAGTGCATTCCATCTTTAAGGACTTTCTTTGTGATCGTATTCAGTGTGTTAAGATCGATCGAATACTAAGTTCTTATAACGTAGTTACATATGGTGTTCCACAAGGAAGCATACTTGGCCCAAGTCTCTTCTTGGTTTACATTAATGATCTTTGCCAACAGCCATTATATAATGGACAAATATTTACGTACGCTGATGATACGGTGCTGGTATTTTATGGAGAGACTTGGAATACACAAGGTAAACTGCTGGCTAAGATTGAATTTACTTACTCTAAACCTGTCAAAAACAACTTTTATCCAGTTTAATATCAAGGAAAACCACATTGAAAATATATCAATCAAGCTACATTGCTGTAAATTACTGAAAGATCGACAATGTTCATGCCATATGCTCCATAAATCTGATACTGTCAAATACCTAGGCGTTATTTTAGATTGTAAAATAAACTGGCTTAGTCATATAGATCTACAAACCTATAGAGTAAGGAAGCTAATTTGGGCGTTTAAACATCTAAGGTATGTGGCTGATTTTGATACACTTCGTAGTATATTACGCGCTTGCTCAGTCAGTAATAAACTATTGTATTAGAGTTTGGGGTGGCGCATGCAAAACCCACATTTTGCGACTTGAGAGAGCCCAAAGGTCGTTGCTTAAAACGATGACTTTTAAGACGTTTAGATTCCCAACTAGAAGACTCTATAGTGATTGTCAAGTTCTTACTGCATTTTACAACTTATAAGCAGACAACATCTTGCTACTGCATACGACAAAGACAAAATAGAAAGAAAACGTACAATAGTTAATGTCTTGACTCCAACCGCTTTCCGCATGTCCTTTGCCAGGTGCCAACATGGTTATCTTAGTGTACATTTGTATAACAAAATAAACAAAATTCTTGACTTTTATCCACTTCCACTTTACAAATTTAAAAAGAAGGTAGAAAAATGGCTTTTATCATTAAATTATGAAGAAACGGAGGACTTGTTTAATGTTATAATGTAATCCGCTTGATGAATCCTGTTATTTTTTATTTATTTATAAGTACATATAAAACACATGCATACACAAACGCAAAAATACGCTTGCTACACACACACGCACACGCACATACACAACCCCACACATACACACACACACACACACACACACGTACACATGAACCCTAACACACTAAACACACAGTTAGTACGTAAATTAAGTAGTATATTATTTTTTTATACCTTTTGAAACATTCTTGTTATTTTGAACCTTTATTGTTAATTTATTAGGTCATAAAATTGGGAGAGGGCGCTGATTGCTGAGATACAGGTATAATTCCCAGTTCAGCAATCAGAGACTTCATATATTCACTGTATAATTATCAATAAAGCTTATTATTATTATTATTATTGTGGGGTATCTATATAGTTTTCTCATCTGGTTGGGTTCTATAAATATATAATTATAAATGAAAATGAAAAGATAAATCTACATAAATATCAATAACATAAAATAAATATAAAAATACATAAATAAATAAAAGCCCAACCAGATGGAGGCCCTCGGCAGGGGAGACCAAACGGCCGAGGGTTAGGGGGAAAGGGAAAGAAACCGGCGGACATTGCGGGCGGTATCGAGGAGCACCGCCTTCTGCATTTGAGCCCGGAGCGGTCCGCCACGTAGTCCCAGTCGCCTCAGATGACCCGAGAGGCTGACTGGGATCAGCCCGTTTGCAGAGACGACTACAGGAATAATTTCGGTCGGCAGACCACCCCACATGTCAGTCACCTCGTGAGCCAGGTTCAGATATTTTGTTTGCTTGTCTGTTTCGGCTTTCATAAGGTTCTCATCATACGGAATGGTAATGTCGACCAAAAATATCCTAGACTGTGCCCGGTCCATCAGCACAATATCAGGCTTATTCGCAAGAATAGTCCTGTCTGTGATGATGGCCCGGTCCCAATAGAGCCTGGCGCGATCATTTTCGAACACGGCTTCCGGCAAGTACTTGTAATACGGCAATTTCCGATCCACGAGACCGTATTTCAGAGCGAGCTCCTGGTGAAGAATTCTGGCTACTAGGTTGTGCCTGTGCAAGTACTCAGAGTTAGAAAGCGCCGAACAACCGGAGATGACATGCCTAAGTGACTCACCGGGATGGCGACAAGCTCGACAGATGTCCACGGTGCCATCCTTTAGGATGTATCTCCGATAGTTGTTGGTCTTAATAACCTGATCCTGTATTGCACAGACAAAACCCTCGGTTTCCCCCGAAGAGATCACCAAAGCGTAGCCAGTGGAGGGAGGCTACTGTGTCTACGAAAGGCTCGTGTAGAGCCTTGTAGAACCTCCCGTGGAGCTCCTTCTCCTTCCATACGTTCTCCCGGTCGGAAATTGTCTGCATTGCCGGGTCTTGCCATTACTCGTTGGCTAAGGTTAGAGGGGTAAGTCCTTTATCACTAGAAATGACGTCCTTATAGAATGGATCATCCGATCTCTCCAGGAAGTAATTACGGAGGCTGCACACTTCGCGATTATGCATGGTGAGCGCGCTCAAGAAGCCACGTCCACCATGCTTTCGCGGCAAGTACAGCCTCATTACCGACGATCTCGGATGATGCATCCTGTGGGACGTCATGGTAGTGCGGACTTTTCTATCCAGGGCGTTAAGTTCAGTCTGAGTCCACCTGAGTATGCCAAAGGTATACATGAGGACAGGCATGACCCAGCCGTTATATGCGTGTGTCTTATTCACACCGGACAAAAGGCTGTTAAGCACTTTGGTCAAGCGTGCATAAAACACGTCGCAAACTGACTGTTTCATACCAGCCTCATCGATACCGATGTTCTGTGACATACCCAGGTATCGGTATGTTTCAGCCTCGGAAAGGGTCCTTAAGTTGACGGGCATAGATAAGTCTATGCCCTCAGAGTTAGCAACCCTCCCCCTTTCAACATGGAGGACCGCACACTTATCTGTTCCCAGCTCCATTCCAATAGAATTGATAAATTCACAAGTGATGTTTAGCAATTCCATAAGATGGGAGCGACTGGACGCGAATAACTTGAGGTCATCCATATAGAAAAGGTGGGTCACTTTTGTACCTCTTTCCGAAGCTGAAATCCCCTCCCGGAGCCCTCCAGTAAAGTACTGAGAGGGTTCAGGGAGAGGCAGAACCAGATTGGACTCAGACAATCGCCCTGGAAGATACCCCTTCTTATCCTTATGTGGTTCTCCGCAGCCATCATCCGCTCGCCCAGATAGCAAAGGATCGTACTCCATTGCCCCATACACTGCTCGAGGAAGTCTCCAACTGTACAGTCAATTTTGTACAGCTGGAGGACTCTCTTTAGCCATGTATGGAGCACCGAGTCGAATGCCCTTCTGTAGTCTATCCAGGCGGCGGAGAAATTCCGACGGTTGCGTTTCACCACTTTGCCAATGACCGCGTCAATAAGGAGTGGTTCCTTGGTACCACGACCACCGCCCCGGCATCCATTTTGAGCGCGTTACATCACCTGATTTAGCTCCAGGTGACGAGTGATTCTCGCGCTCAAAATGGATGTCAGTGTCTTATATATGGTGGGTAGACACGTGATGGGGCGATATTTGCTCGGGTCTGTGGTATCCTGATCTTTAGGAACCAAGTGAGTGATCCCAGTAGTGAAGAGGCTCGGGAGCGACTTCTGATCGAGAGCCTCTTGAAACTGTCGGGCGAGCAGAGCGTGACACACTACGAACCCCTTCAGCCAGTAATGATGCAGCCCGTCGAGCCCCGGACTTTTCCAGTTCGGGGCCCTACGGACCGCCTCAGCCACGTCTTCAGGCGTTATGGTGACGGAGTCCATAGGCGTAACACTTGCACTCTGGCTCGCCACAACTCCCATCCAAGGGCCCTCGCTGTGGTTTACGGGCTCTGACCACAGGCCACGCCAAAATGCGACAGTGTCAGCCTGATCCGGTCCTGTGCCCGCTCCACATACCTCTGGTTGCTCCAATGATTTATAGAGCCTCTTCTGATCACTCTGGAAGAGACGATTCTGGTTGAACCGCCTTGACCTCTCGCTAAATCGTCGAATCCGCTTCCCCCAAGCAGCGATTTTTTGCTTCAGGTCATCTATGCGCTCCGTTAGTTTTTGCGTGATATCCGGCTGGAACAAACTGATATTTGTCCCAGCAAACGCCATCCTAACGGTGCGCATAATCCTCGGTCTATTGTTACCTGACCTGAAGCTTGTCAGTCTGCCGATAAGGGCCCTTGCCTTTGCGATACGGTCCTCAATTCTTTTTCTCCAGGCTGGGATGGCGCTACTTTTTTGAGTAGCACGTCCAGCCACGGGAAGTTTGGCGCCAATAATACGGCGTACTGCCAGTGCGGCGCCAAAAAGAATTGAATCCGTCTCGCAAAGGTCCCGGCTGGCTTCCAAATAGGTCACCAGCATTGGGTTAAGAGCCCGCACGACAGCCCGATTTCGCTTGCTAAGGGGTATGCGGGGAAGTCGCGGTCGATTTTCGAGAGGCATGCTGCGCGTTTCCAGCATCGACTCTTCCAATATGCTCCTCATTTTCTCTAGTTCGTGGGAGACTATTCCATCATCGTCTGAATTAGCCACAAATGGAATGTTGACGGCAGCATCCACATATGCAGTTTGTTGCGCATCTAGTGGCGCCGCATTCCCAGCCGTAACATTTCCATTCGATGAAGGAATAGCCTCACGTCGTAGTCGCTCGAGTTCGGTGTCACCAAATATGTTGGAGCGCAGGATGTACCTAACTCGGTCTGCCAGGTTTTGCTCAGTGACGGATAGAGATGGCTCCAGCTCTGCAAAAAAGCGATGCATCCGAGCCCGATACGCCAAACATCCAGTTTCTTCCCCTTTTGCCCTAAAATACGCCCGCAGTGCGTTTTCATTCATTGATTTAGACCAACGCATGCGACGTGCTCCACCAGCGGCGGGTGCCGCTTGCTGAGTCCGAGAAGACCCAGCCGACACCAAGCCTTCTGGTGGGGATGATGGATGCGGGGGGCTGCTAGGTGGTCTTGCAACACCCCGCGCTCGGCTGGCGGTCCGCATGCTGTCGCGTCCAGCGCCAGCTCCAGACGCGCCCTGGCGACCTCCAGGCAGCGGCCCTTTGCGCACTATCTTTTTCTCCATCATACATAATATGGGCGTCCATTAACGGGAGACGCCCAGGCCCGGCACCGTATCGTGGACGGCCATAAGCACAAACGGGCCTTTGCACCCTGAATTCTGCCGAGGCACGGCGCTCACATTTCTCGCAAGGCGCTGACTGACTGCGTTGACGTAGCAGTTTTGTCACTTACCTGTTACGTCAGCGGGCGATGGGGTCGTCAATTCCCTACGCCTAAATTATAAGAGAGATATTATTATTATTATTATAAGAGCTGAAACCTTATCTAGCACAGACCTCAACCTTTTGGACCACAAATTATAGTCAGTTTTAGAGGACATGTCTTGCTCTAAACGACACGGCGACATCAAGTCTCTTAAAAAGTCTCTAGAGCGAGCAGTGGCGAAATTTCCCATGGAAACAGTACGTAAATCCATAGATTCGTGGTCAGACAGATTAAAGGCCTTTAAGGACATACATACATTACACGGATTGAAAGTATTCAACGTAAATTCATACGATATCTTTGCTACCGTACCCAAAAAAATTACCGATCAGAAGACTATCTATCATTATGCAAACAGCATCATCTGTTACCTCTGATAAAGCATCGGGAGATTGCTGACATTGTATTTTTATTGAAAATCTGTTCTGGCAACGTTGACTGCTCTGATTTGCTATCACAAATATCACTGAGAACGCCTACAGTGAACCTTAGAAGGAATGCATTACTCTACTTACCAGCTTCATCAACTAATTATGGAAGAAACACTTCCTTATATTGGTCTAGTAATAATTTTAATAATTTATGCAAAAAGCATGATTTTGATTTGTTTAATACTAGTTATGTATCGGCAAGGCGGGCATTAAGTCGAGAGTTTTTTGTGTCGTAATTTAATTTACTTAATTTATTTTAAGAAAAAATATTGCTTTTCTTTTCTTTTGTAGCTATTATTGTTTGTTTCACTTATTAAATTTATGCATGTTGTACATTTAAATTGGACTCCATTTTTGTTGCTCGTATTTGTGCTATGTCCTTTAAACGACGAAAGATTATGTTAGTGTATTTCTATTAGTTAGAACCTGTTATTGGCTTCTTGTAAATTTAATATGTTATTTACTTAAGATTTGTAAGCTGTTGGTTTTCCACAACACAAAAATAAAATAAAATAAAATAAATATAAAAGCATAGGTTCCTTTCAAAAATCACTGAGTAATTCTCTCGTTTAATTGTAATTAATGAAAATGTAAAAAAAAACAATTGGTACTTTTCTACAAAAAATATTCTCATGGATCTCTTCTTTCATCTCAAATATGGAAAAAGAGATATTTTCCTTTTTATATAATCAAATGAAATTATAAGGCGTGCACTTTTGGATTTTCCAAACTTTTAATTGTTATTGTTAGTAGGAAATATTACGAAAATATAATTTAGTTTAGGTATGCTTAAAAATGAAGAAATACTTTATTTGTACTGTTCCTTTCTACAACATGAAGTATATTACTAATTAAAGGAGTAGGATAAATTTCAGTTCCGGAAAGTTTTTCAGAAAAGTTGACTAATATGTGATGGTGTTTTATAGGATATTTTATTCTTATAGTTTGGGTTCCCGAAGATGGATCTTGTATGCCAACTTGTAGAGGAGTCTTTGGCGAAGAGTGATTCCACTGGATGTGAGAATTTACCTTGATTGTTGAGCGACTCCCTAAAAATGAATGAGCTTTCTATAGCGAAGTCTGACATCTGGCGTACATAGAACTATGAAATGGAGTCATAAAATAAGACGGTGACTGAATTGCAATCGACGCAATCGACTTCCACGGGCTGATAATGATGATCTTAAAGTCGGTACTTAACCAAAACCTGGACTATACAAAAAATTGAATCTTTGTATGATTCTGGTTCCCGTTCTCAATGTCTGCTATCTAAATTCAGTTGGAAGCGCTAATACAATACCTTTATTTAAAATAATTAATACTACATGTTTTTTATTTTATTACTTACCTCAAATGGAACCAAAGAAGGTTGGACTTTCATATATTTACAAAAATTTAGAGCTTCTCTACCACCTAGTTGAAGAGTAGCCCGTCAACATGGGTATTCACCACCGTTTTATCTAATTCTCTCCCCCTTTTTAATGTTTGTAATGTTTATTTAGTTAGTGTTGGTTGTGTCCAATAATCAATTTTTAAAATGTACAGTTTCCAGTCAACTTACGTTGCGCTATGGCCATCAACGAAGTCCAGGGCCATAGGCTGAGAGTAACTGGTGTGGATCTCAGTATCAGCTGTTTCTGTCGTGTGTTTTGTTAGTAATCAAGCAATCTTTCTGTATTAATCTGGAATGCTAGTACGTCCTATACTATGTGTAGTGGAGCATAACTGTAGACACAAAAGAAAAAAACAAACAAGAGGTCAACTATGTTTCCAATAAAAGAAGACAATTGTCTTCCGCTAATGCCATATATGTTAATGCCGTGCACTCTATGTATTGTGTTTTAAGCAAAACTTATTTACATCTACTTTACTTCATTCACTTCTTCTTCATATCTACTTTCATCATGTTTCAATAGTTCGTCATATAGACTCGAGTTGGTTATTCATTTATTTACGACGATTTATTTGTACATTATGAGCATAGTAAAAAAGTAATGCCTGTAAATATATACGTCTCACTGCTGAGCACAGGCCACCTTTCATTTTGAGAGGCTTATATAGCAACTAGGCTACCGTGTTTACCTGCATTTTTTTTGGATAAAAATCCATTAACTGCTAAACGCAGGTATCCCCCTTAAATTGTATCACAAAGAGGCTTCGATTGGCAGGCGGGTTGGCAATCACATACATGTTTTTTTATAATTTTGAGTTGTCATAAGGAATTTGCAGCCTAACTTTTGATGACGATTCTTGATTTCTTGATTCTGAAATGATAAAGAAGAGGTGATACAGGATGTCATCTCTTATGGCACGGCTGTTCTCACACCGCAACTAAAGGGTTAGTATTTAATAGAACAGATTTTTTTTAAGTTAATAGAATACAGTCTGTAGCTCTATTTCTAGGAATAAATGATTTTTTTATTTTATTATTTTTACATAGAGAGAAAAATTTTGGGTACAACTAGTATGAAATAAATGTTTAGGTTTATATTACTAGTTAGTTTAGAAGCTATTATAAAGAAATAATCTTCAGAGAGATCATGTAAGACAAAACAAAAATTGTAATGGACAGTATTATACAGAATTTATTTGAAGTAAGTGTATAAATTTTACTTAACAAGAAGAAAATTCACCTCAATCTAAACGTAAACAACAAAAGCCCAGAGCTCAAGTTCCACTGTAAACTTTCTAACAAAACTGCAATTAAAAGATAAAAGACCAATCTTGTTTACTTGCTGCAAGCTTTTTATATATCTATAACTTCTTTCTATACCTAAACCTTCTTATTTTATGTATCTCTAATAGGACAATAAGATTTTTTTTATAGAATTAGGGTGACTACAGAGCACGCAGTCCACCTGATGGTAAATGGATGCTGTGTACCGTAGACATCTACATCTCTACAGCTATACAAATGCATTGCCACCCCTGATCAATAAGATGGAATATCTTGTTCCCAGTAAACAGGGTCTCCGTTCCCTGCAATCAACATAGGAATCTCAGAAGCATCAAGCTGATAGTTTACGCTAGTATTCCGTGAGAGTATAGTCCTTTCAGGGTTAAGGTGACCCATTCGTACTACACCTATAATTTAGCTACAGCATGGCTCTAGCACGGATAAACAATGCTTTGAGCTAAAAAGTTAGGTGATTCAGATCAAGGAAGGCCTCTCCCAGAGACAATTCTACCGGAGACAGGCTATCCATAACTTCATTTTCTTGTTGCAAAAAAAGAAAAAATAACGAAGGCCGTAATAATTAAGTGAATCTCTTTGAATTATATCTCTAATATAAAAAGACCATTATTAAATGTAGCAACGTTTCGCAAAAATGGGTGAAAAGGCAAGTGAATTAATAAGCATAATGAAAGCATTATTTGACGAACTCTTTTTTCCCTTTCTATTTGCTTTGAGGTAGGTGTACGATTGAAATTAAATACTTAGTGTTTTAGTCAAAAAATTGCCTTCTTTTTTATTTTTTCTACGCCATCGCTTCAAAGTTCACTGCGAGGATTCCTTGTATTTGAAATGACAAGAAATAAATATATAATTCTATAATGATATAATTCTTCCAATAGTTACTATTTCGCCCTTGAAAATATACAAATTATAAAATGTGAAGAAGCTCACTATGGCTCCGTAAATTAGATTCTTCGTAATTAGATTGTTTTAAATAATTATTGAATTTATTTAAAATATCAATGAAGTTTTCAGGATAACGGGTGTTGTTAAATTTTCGACAAGAGCGCTCTTATTTTTGGAAAAAATAGTAGTCACATTGTAACACTACACAATATTATACTCCCTCCTTGTCCTAGACATTCTTAACAATTGTAGTACGCCGCATTCCATGCCAGCATCACAATTTATCCAAGCTCGCTAAAAAAATTTAAAGCAGTATATCTGGCAACACTGTATCAACCCCTCCGTCAATGCAACTTCATTACGTTTCTTTGTGCCAGCCATCACGGTGTGTTTTTATAATTTTTGTTGTAAAAATTAAATATGTTTAGTGTAAAATCAAATATTTTGTATACAAAACCTACTACAAATAAATTTATTACGTATCTGCGTGGTAATAATTTGATTATGTACTTGGGAAAAGAAGATATTCAAAATGGAGCCAACCGATGAAAGGTAAACAAAAAATCCTATTGTTCGAGGTACGTGCCACGTGCACGTATATATATATATATATATATATATATATATATATATATATATATATATATATATTAATGTTTTTCTTACTTTCATTTACTTACGTTGGGCAGCAGACCCGGAAATTATACACCCTGAGATTTAGTTGTATACCCTGAGATTACAACTAAACTTTCTTTAGTATCAGAAAATCCTGATTATGAAAAG